AGTTTTCTGTTGACCATCTGAACAGTGGGGTTCTTGGACAGGATGACGGATGAGCGAATTTTTAGTTTTTTTGGCTCGAGTCCGGTGGTAAGTTGAGACGCTGAGCAGCTTTTTATGGTGTTCAAGACGGCGGTCAAGTTGTGGTTGATAAAGATGTGGACCATAAGAGGTGTGAAGCGTAATCATCACATGGAGCCGAGGCGTCAAGCGATGACATTCGAGCCATGCCGTTGTGGGTTGTTTGGATCCGTGGACGAAAGGACGAGCGAATCCAGACTTCGGTATCCCAAGCGGTGGTTGAGTCGAGTGGATCAGTTGAAAGGATGACCGATATGGAGGAATTCCGACCGGCTTTGGTGACCTGACAAGGAGTTGAGGCGTTGAAAATTCATTTCGACCCATTCCGCCTTTGTTTGGTTCGGTAAAGATTGTAAGATTAGTCGTCTAGCCACACCACCGGAGGTTGAGTCGAGTGGACATATGTTGTTTTTTGGGGTGATGAAGGAAAGGTCGTGAGACGTTCTGGTGGGTTATTGAACGGTGGGTCCAAACAAATAGACCGTCTATCGAATCGGGTCGAGGTCAAAGGCTACCCACGGGGCCCACCCGGCGCCTCTGCCCCTCACCTGTATTGGCTGTATTTGGTGTGGCTTTCGAGGAAAAATGAAAATGAAAAACCGCACCATGACATTAATTTTGAAAACAGCTGTAAATCATTTTGTTGCTCAGTGTAAAATTCAATTTTGAGAGTGATCACTTGGAATTTTGCACAGGAGGTTTTTGCACCGAAATTGTTCGGTGTAAACTATCCGGTGTAAAAATGGATACCATGTTGGGGCACAAGACTTTTACACTGAATTTTTTTACACCGGATAATCCGGTGTAAAAATTGCAGTGTAAAAATCAATTCCTCAACCGGGTACCAGATTTTTACACTGAAAATTTTACACTGTTTTTTTTTTACACCGCTCAAAAAAAATCGAAACAAGTGTAAAATTCAAAAAACGGGGGGGGATTTAAGCTTAACTAAGCCCCTCTTCCGCGGCCACGTCCGCGACCTCGAAGAGGGGCTTACCGCGGACTCGCGATTTTTCGCGGAGGACTTCCAAGAATTAAGTACTGTTATGTACTTCTTTCAACTTTCCCTCAACACCTCTGGCCAGAAAGTGCCAGCCTTCTGATATGTTGTTCTCAAAGCTTTTGTACATATTTTGATACCCCACACTTGTGCTTTACTCGGCGGAACGGTTTCCATGTTGGGTGGTAAGCATCATTGGATGTGCTTGTGTATGTTCCAGTCAAATACCCTGGAAAATACCCCGGAATGATTTTTTGGAACAAAACCCCAAATTTGTGGGCAAAGCCTCCTTGTGTTTTGTCCTTGGTTTTAGCTCGGTTTTGTATGGGATGGCTGAGCACGGTGAGGTTAAGTACGCGTTCTTGTGGTTACGCGCTTTTGTGGTACACAAAAATTTTGAACCACAAAATGGACACAAAAATTTTGTTCAAAATTTGGGAAGGGATTCTGGCGCGCGGCCATTCCCAAAACTACAGAGTGACCGCTATCAAAAATTGCAGCCTCAAGAAATCACAAAGAGCCAGCGACCTCCCATGGAGCAAGAAACCAAAATCCGCCAGCGTCCCTTCATCGAGTCCATTGCTGTGCAGTTATGTTCTACTGCAAAAAGTCAGCAGACCTTTGCTAAAGAGGTATTTTACTCTTTTTTATGTGCGGATAACCCCGTTTTAAAAGAAAGTCGACGTTATTGGGGTATCGAAAGAGGTTTGAACTCCACTTTCCAAATTGTGCGTGCAATCAAGGACCTGACTCAAAATAGTGAGGAAGGCCGGGCTGCATGGTGCAAGTTTATTTTGAGCGAGGTGAGTGTTCTTCTTTCTTAACAGTGGTATACAAGTTAATGATAATGGTTCTCATAGGCGCAAGAAGAAATTCAACAAGAAATTATGTCCAAACCTCGATGTTTTTATAGTTCACAAAAAATCACAAACGAGTTCTTTGAGCTAGGTCAATTACACGCGCGTGAAGATAAATTAAAGGCCTCAATGCCATTTTTGTGGAATCTGATGTATCATCAGCTATCGCTTAGATCAAATAATCGTGCGGCTCTTATGACGCCTGCTCACCGCAGCAACGTTTGGGACACGTTGGAAGACGAACATTCAGAACATGATCCAGATGCTGAAACCGGCCTGGCGACTGAAACTGTTGGCGAGAGGGAAGCCCGACATGACGAGGAAATGCTTTATCTTCCAGAAGACCAAACTAAGGCAGAAAGAGACCGAGCAAATCTGGCAAGTACCACACTTACTTGCTTTACAAAGATTGCGGTTACTCAACTGACTTGATATAACTGTTTTAGGTTGCAACCACCATATGTGGCATGGTCTCGTACATGTCTAATTATAGAGATAATGCGCTTCAGTTGCACAACACGTTGACTTTCATTGCAACTGGAGTGTCTGATAGAGTTTTTCAATATTTGAATACTTTAGGCCTGTCAAGTTCTCGAGATACAGCTTTACGAACTTTAAATCATCTCAAAAGCAAGCAAGAAGCCTCACTGCGAGCACTTATGGCCCAGCCTTATAGTATATGCCCAATAATCTGCATCGATAACTTTGATATCTTACAAAGAGTTCACAATACCCGAGTAGAGACTGTGTCGCATCTCTTTCATGGCACATGGGGTTATATTCAGTTTTTACCTAAATACCTAGATAAAGATATCTCGAAAGAAAGTCCGAGCACTCACCTTCAAAACTACCATCAATCCTTGGCTGAAGCTCGGAATTCCCCGGTCCGGTTGGACACTTTCAGGGAAAAGGCAAGTGATATGAACCAGTGGGAGGCGACTTTAAAAAGTCAGCTAGCCACGGTCATGTACAAATACATTCTCAAAGCTGGAACGACTCCCTCACCCAAAATTGCTACAAGGCCACCTCCGGTAGACCAGATTCCTGTAGATGATCGCCATTTGTTTCTGATGAGCCTAATGGACGCGGCCGACAACTCAGCAGATGGGGTTGCACAAGTTTTTGACGAAATCGCTTCTCAATGCGGGCTGACGCTCGAAGAAATGTCAAAATGGATCAGGATCGTTCAAGGTGACCTTGGCACTTGTCACAATATCGAAAGTCTTCGAAAGAAGCGTACTCCCGCCGGAACTGACATAGGAGGCCTTACCAGTGTGCTTACTATCCCTGGGGTTTCCCATATTATGTGGAACCTGGCACAAGGGATCCTATCGCATCATTGGGGTGATACACGTGACTCTAAGGACACTGGCGCGTGGAAGGCATGGCAGTCTTTGGGCGGATTACAAGGAGCTAATGCTAAACTGCCGTCGAGCATGGATTTTGGAACTGTTATGAAAGCGCTCCACTCGGTTCACTGCGCAACTTTGGTGTCGTGTTTAAGGTGAGTCCACCTTGATTGCATCCCGATCCCAAGTTAGAACCTGATCTTACGACATGTTTTTAAACATGATCTAGGCACACTATGTCAAAATACGAGACTCCTCCGGACCTAGGCAAGGAGGGTGCGGCCCAAGACCTAATAGATAGATGTTACAAAGAATTTTGCACCTCGGATTCTTTGAGAGCGTGTCATAAGATAGGGGACAATGTCGGCTATAATTTAAGGCTTCGGATACGTGATTTTGCGACTGTGGTGGAAGCTGATGATGCGACACACGCAGGTGATATTGGCAGGCTAATGCTGATGTGGAAACGATGGTCAATAATGGCTCATGGGTTAAAGGGCTTGCCTCGATATGCATTGCATCTGACTCGCTTTCTTGTGCTTGTGGAGCAGGACCTACCTCCTAATTTGGCCAAACTAATACTGCATAGTTTGCTTATTCCATCAGGTCAACGCCCAGGTCATTTTGTAGGAAATGATCTCTGGCTTGAACACCAAAACTTTTGGCTCAAACACCATTTCAATCAAACAGTTAGTCTTTTTTTTTCGGGGTTTTGATTAACACATCGATTAATCATGTGATTATGTAGAGTAACGGAACGGATATTGAAAAGCTGATCGCTATTTCAATTAACATTACATTTGTGTGTGCAAGAGATTTTTAATAAACATCTTGATTCAAATCGATTAATGAAACATTGAAACTTGTTCCTAGCTACGACAACTGATTCAACAATTAAAAATCCGGAGCGGACTGAAACCTGTGTTTCAAAACCACTACCATAACCTTTCAGAACAAACCCTCGCTAACTTTATCCGCTCTTGGAATTATCAATATGTCACTTCCAAAAACTCGACTGTCAAAAGTCAATTTACCGATACGGTCTTGACCGGAACAAATGTATTACAAGACAACTTTTTGAAAGACCGGAAAAAGAATGAAGTATCTCGATATTGATGGGGTTGTTTGGGTGACACGGTGGTTGATGCCGAAGGCAATCTTGAAGACATCCACCCCGAAAGTCAGGTTGAGCTAAACTGCGGTGTTCCTTTGTTTGGCTGATTTGCCCTTCTTACCGACATATGGGGGTGGTTTTCTCTTGGTCGACTTAGGACCAGTGATTCCTGAAGTCGTAGGGTCTACCTGCAATAAAGTAGTTAATTTCATGACAGGGTTAGATCACATGAACCAAAGTGTTACAAAAGACATATATGATAATTAGAAGATAAAGTAATGAAACCATACCACTTTGTCCTTTTCGCTCACATCTTTTGCCTTAGTGAAATTGGAGGCACTTTTTTGCTTCGCTTTGGTCTTTGCTTCGTTGTACATGATCATCTCTTCTTCCGAAGGGTGCAACACTGCAATCGAATCCGTGCTTGCCTTCCATTTGCGAATGTCTTGATGTATTGATGTGTATGTATTTGGAAGAGGTTCACTACCAAACACATCATCCAAATGCATTCCGTCTAAAACAAGGTCGTAGTTGATGCACAGGCTCCAAATTTTGTTGGGTGAGAACAGGTCATCGAGAGTGTAGAATGAACCCTTAGGATATTCTAAATTAAAAATTGACATCAGATTTGCTTGAATTCGCAGGAATAATCGAATCCAGCGTATATCTTGACGTAGAGGATGGTCATCGTCTATGGGTCTCAATGTGGTTTGAATCCCACTGTCCTGACAAACGAGATCTTCTGAGTCAACTTTGAAGTCGGGTTGTCCAGGTGGCACGTCCTGCTGGAGGACCAACTTGGTGAAATTCGATTGAGTCAAGATTTTCTGTTGAGCCAGGAAAAAATTTGCAGCATTTGAATCACAGTTCGAGCAGCGGCACGGTGCCATATTGGCCTCGGCCTGCCGTCAAGTTTCACTCGTCACGGCTTGGTCATTTTTCGATACCGGTATGTAGTTACACCTACAACTCATCAAGTTATTTGACGAAAGGAGTCAGCATCAGCACGGACCTGATAAACCGAATGTGAAAAGCATATCACTCACCGTAGTAGGACCTCAAAAGCCACCCGTAAGCATACCTCAGTGGTAGACATAGCAAGCATATGATGATCGTGGTCTTGCAGACTCTGATGTGGCAAAACCAAAAGCGAATCCTTGTCAGTCTGCGACAATTGATTGACTATCAAAAAAGCCACAGCTGGTCGCCCGTCTCGACCGCCTCGACCGGCCATTTGCAGCACCTCGAGCGGATCCAGCTGGCCCATAATAATCACCCTTCTCACACGTGTCCAGTTTTGGCCAAGGCCAAGAGCGTTAGTACAGGTCATTACTGAGAAAACCCCCTTTCCAAAATCCTGCGCTCGGCGAATCTTATCAATGGGACAGGTTGAGGCATGATAACGGCAAACTGAGGTACTCAAGCCATTGCTCGAATCGATTTGGTTTTGGCGGGCTGAATTAATTGCCTTAAGGGCTAAGTAGGTGTCGTTTTGTGTATGACAGTACACAAGAGTGGGTACAAGCTCGGAATCAGTCACGTTGGTTTTAGGTGCAAAGAATTTCTTGAGCAAGTCCATTGAAGAACATCCGTGTCTGAGGGTGACCCGGATGAAACAGATCTCTGGTCGTACTAGTTCGCTTCGATGAATGTCAATGCTATCTCTGGTGATTTTGAGACTTGCAACAATTTGGTCGAAGTTGCAAGGAGGACAAGTTGCTGACATAAGTAGAGTTGGTACTGCTTCTGTGGCTAGAAACCGCTCCACTAGGTTCCCGTATGAAGGCCGAAAAGCGGTGCAATCTTGCGGGATCTGAAAACATCGGTAATTTTTGATTCTGCCCGACAAGGCAAGGCCCCAACAGTAGATGAGGTGAGCCTCATCTACGACCTTGAGCACCAAACGGTTACGGAATCCCTTGGAAAAATAGAGACGTTCGAATTGAGAGTTATTCAAGAAAATTTCTGGCGACTATGTTAAGCACATGTCCGGTCAGCTCAGGAATGATTCAAAAACAATCGAGATCAATTTCAGGGCTTACCACATAAATAAATTGGTATTTTCCTGCAAGAATCTCTTTATACACAGCTTTCGTGAAAGACGCCCGTGTCAGGTTGATAGCACTCAGACCATTTCTAGCCTTTTCTTCAACCTGTCCAAATGCCCGATAAATAGTGAGTGAAAATGATTATAGAACATCAAACAGAGACACATTTGAGAAACTTACTTGATTATCTCCAAGCGCGTCTAAAGGATTCAAAGTCAAGATGATAGGCGCACATGCTTTGGTGAACATTAGATAGAATAATTCCGGTATTCGAGACTTGCCATACCCGGTACTCGCGATGAGAAAAACATCCTTTTTTCGAACGAGACTCATAGTCGAGTCGACTTGCAAGGCTCGAGCAATCATTTTGAATATGTTGTAAAATAAGTCTCGTATCACTTTTCGTTGTTCTTCATCGTCATCCTTGAGCAATGACTTTGAGATTGTTGGCCGGAACTCTTGAGGGTCAGTTTTGGTGGCTGCTGGTGCTGCGGCTGGGGTTCTTGGGGTTCTGCAAACATCAGGCAAAGGCGGAATAATAGCACTCCGAGAGCGAGTAAGCATGACGTAGTTAGTTGGAGTGCAAGTGAATGCGCATCGATGATCACGGTGGCATCTTATAAGTTATGTACGGCAGACGCGTCACCCCCCTAACCCTTACTGCTAAGGATTACTGCCATTAGGTCATAATACTTTTATGTCTTATGACAGTTTCCACCCAGGATAAGGATTTGTCCGGATTCGCCCGAGGTCAAATCGGTCAAATCAGATTGATGGCCTGTACACCCGTTCTTAGGCTGTTACAGGAAGACATAGGGACCATATTTAGTCATGCCTCCCAAATATGCAAAACAAGTGTGTTTCTGATGAAAGTAGTACCAACTTATGTAGACAAATGTAGAGAACAAGACACGAGAAACATGGAAATTTTTGTGGAGAGGTTTTGAGGTGAAGTTGAAGAAAGTACATAACGGTACTTAATTCTTGGAAGTCCTCCGCCAAAAATCGCGAGTCCGCGATAAGCCCCTCTTCGAGGTCGCGGACGTGGCCGCGGAAGAGGGGCTTAGTTAAGCTTAGGGGGGATTTTTGAATTTTACACCGAAGACGTTTTACACCAAACAAGTCGGTGTAAATGACCCGGTGTAAAATTCCACCTCCCCATTTCTTATAACGTTTTCTTGGTATTAATGTAACATTTCCTTGGTATTCATCCTTATTCACCCCGTCCTACGGATATAGAATGTGTACAACAATAGAACCGACTTTTCCTGTGTAATCTGATAGTCGGTCCACCTTTATCATCAGATTTAGTGTGGAATTTGTCTTTGGTACTCGACACGCGCTCTTCGGCGGAACTATCAGATTCTTTCTGACTCAGCTTCCAACATTATGATAAACTTCTTCTGAAATCCCCACTGCCGCTCTACTGGAAACGATATGTTTACATGACTCAAATCTAATCAATTTGAAGTCGCAATCTGAAGCTAACCTGACGGAATCACTTCGTGTTGTTGCCTGAGTGAAAACATGCAGGAAAGAAACCTTATCCAGGCGTGATCCAGGCTGATCATGGCGAGTTTCAACTCATGCTGTGCAACCTCAGAATTGATTCCTCCAATAGTGTCAGATAATCGTCTAGGCTGACGTTTTGTCGCTACGCTGTGAGCTAAGAGTCGGGCCAAAGAAGAGGGGTTGTCCTTCACTGAGGCCTCTGCCCTTTGGGCGAGGATTGGAAGATAGGGGACGTCCAGGGTACTGCTGAGGACTTTTTCAAGTCACAGCCGTAAGGTATCGCCTGCTATATCACAGAGTCCAGACCCCAGACCAGGTGTCTGGTGTCTGCAATTTCCGGTTGATGGGTGAGCAGTTGCACCGGAAACAAGAATCCGAGCTGCATCAATCTATGCACGATTGTCAGACCTTCTGGCTGCCCGATCACATGTATACTTATGAACTCGAATGGGATCATTTGTTTTTCGTCGTGTGATGTCCTTTCTTGGGGTTCCTTTTCAGATCCATTTGGAAAAAGTCCAAAAATCGAGCAGCTGTCAGAATTCTTGATGTTCTTTTTGGGTGGTTCTATATCAAATCCCACAACCGTTCATGATCAGAACTTCTGTGTCAAGCCTGAGGATGAGGTCTACCGTCTGGCAATCGAAGAAAATCGTGTATAAAATGGCCATCAGAAGCAACCTGTTTCATCCCTCATCCGCTCTTCATCACTGGTCTTTTGTCTATCCTTTTGATTTCCATTCGCATCTAGTAAATACCTACCTTTCTTTGATATAGACCTAATCTTATTTCTTTTGATCGTAGTAATTTTTACGATCCCTTGATCCTACACTCATTAATCCATAATCAACAAAGATGCATATTTCCTTCGCTTATCTTGGCTTTGTGCTTGCTGGTGAGTTCCTTGGTCATCGTCTGCACTCTCTTTCGATCCAAACTGATGTCTTATTCTGTTTGAATTGTTCTTAGCCTCCGCTGCTGCCAGTTCGCGTCATTTGTAAGCCATGCATTTGGATTCCGTTTCATGAGTTGATGCTGACTTTGTCTATCTTCAGGGCGAGAACCGACACAGTTGCTCGGTTGAGCGTTCGTAGTGAAGAACAGGCCGGCGGAGAGTGAGTCTGAATTTTTCTAGCTCAGTAGAGCGATGTCACTGACTATCACTTACACTTTCGTAGCGACCATCTCAAGATGAAGTGTTTTGGTGGCTGTGGTGGAGGTCTTCCTATCCCTGGGCCCACTTCATGCTGGAATGCTCCGGTCGTCTTCCACGGCGGCGGAGGTTTACCGCCGATGAATACCTTCTTTTCAACCGTTCAAAGCTACACGGTCATCACCTCCAACACCGTCAACATCTGGAACGGTGGCCTAGACCCTCAATCCATCTTACTTCAGTTCCAAATCATGGTCACCAGTCTTTCAACTCTGTTCTCCACTTTACAAGGCGGATGTTCCTTCCAAGGGAACCCTCAAGTCGTACGTCTTTCCTCTATTTCGCTTTCGAGAGTTCAGCTGTTTGCTAACCCATCTTGTCTCTAGTTCATCTCCACTTTTTCCCCCCTGATCATTCAAATCCAAAGCATGCTCACGATTATCACCACTCAATGTGCTGGTACAATTGCTGCCTTCCAATGTCAGTACCCTTCCTGTTTTTCTCTTTGAACCATATGAGCTAAGGTCAGATTCATAATTACTGACTATTTTTCCTACATTTAGCCTCCTTTGCCGTCCTATCTGTCTTGGTGCAATCGATCGTCGGTGTTGCAATCACCTTTCATGTCGAGGTTCAACAATTCTTCGCGGCCTGCAACTTCAACCCTCAGCTCTGGTCACCTCTTGGTTTCCCAGTCGATAGCTGGATCCACGGAGGTGCTGGTGTATTCCCCGGAGGTCCGGGTGTGATCCCCGGAGGTCCTGGTGGATTCCCTGGAGTTCCCGGTGTGATCCCCGGAGGTCCTGGTGGATTCCCTGGAGGTCCCGGTGTGATCCCCGGAGGTCCTGGTGTATTCCCCGGAGGTCCTGGTGTTGTCCCTGGCGGTGTACCAGTTCCAGTACCTGGAGGTGGTGCCATCGGCTGTTTCCGACCACTTGGTCTCCTCGGTACCTTACTCCACGTCCTCATTGTAATCCTCGACCCTCTCTTCCACGGCCTTGGTGCGCTCTTGCAAGGTGTTGGTCTCCTGGTCGCAAACCTTGGTACAGCTGTGGGCGGTCTTCTTGATGGTGGTCTCCTCGGTTTGATCTAGAATCTTAATCATTTTCATTCAGATCGTTCTCGCTTTCCTCAGTCTGTTTTCCATTTGGGTTTTGCTTTGGATCTTCTTACTACCTCTTGTGACCTGCTTCTTGTTCACTTTTTCTTTCTTGTCGGCCTACAACTTCTTATCAGCTTGTTCATTGCGGACCTTTCATGCAGTAGCTTGATTGGCAAAATGGCAATTTACAATCCATTGTGTCTTTTTTCCTCTTGATTGTTTATATCATAATAATGAGAATGCAAATGAGAAGATTGGGAGAGGCATAGAGCCATACTCGTTCTTTGTTAGTCTTACCTTTCAGTTTTTTGAGATGAGAGGTTGTTTTGATAAAAGTCATGATCAGGTGAATGAAATTCGAGTGAAGTTTAATGATCAACATTTATAACTCTCGTTTTATAAATTTCAATCAAATTTAACTGAATAAAAGAATATCAAAATGTGTCTTCGATTTAAGTTTCAGTGATGATCTTTCGAATCAAGGAGCCAAAAGTGATTCACACACTTTAAAAAATTGAAAACTAAATTCTCAAAACGATCCATAAACCAATACCTCATACAAAAAAAAAGAAAAGAAAGATACTTTATGATTAGATTAAAGAGCTTCAAAACCCCACTAAATAAATGTATTCAAAGATGGAAAAATGTTGATCAAGTTCATAACCAAACCGATTAAGAAAAGAAAAAAAACATTCCAATTTGAAGTAGAAATGTAGAACTTGGTTTTTTTAGAATTTCAATCCCGTTTAGAATCTTAAGAATTAGATTATTGAGATTATTGATGCCAAGTGATTTGATTGGATGGTGGCTGGCTGATGGTTCAGGTTAAGATGGGCCGATCGGCGGCAACCTACAAACTCCCGGGTCGGTCCTGACGAGTCGGCTGTCCGGGATGTTTCTCGGAGCCGGGTATCACTCGACATGATCGGTGAGCTGTATGTACAGACCAAACCTAACCTCACGGTTGCGAGTCTCACTTCCTTCTTGTGCGCCACTCTCATTTTTCCATCGGTTAAGAAAACTTCATAACCACCCACCGTCCCGATTCCGCATCCTCCTCAAGTAAGTACTCACCATCAGCTCATCCTCGCTTCCTGAGAACATGCCAATCTCATTTTCCCTTATGACTCTGTCTATTCAGCATCCGACCTCCTCAAGATGCCCTTCGTCAAGTTGGTGAAGAACTCTGCCTACTTCTCTCGGTTTCAAGTCAAGTACAGGCGGCGTCGAGGTTTGTGTCGACTTTCTTTTGTCCGGATTGAAAATTTCTATCCTTCCCTTGCCTTTTTACTTGGTGAACATTAAAAGATGAATTTTTGAGATACATGCATAGTTCACGCTGAGCGCCCTTCTAAGCGCGTTGCTGACCATTATATCTATCATATAGTCTTTCGCTCCTATCTGATCTTGTCCCAAGCCTTATCACTTCTTCTATATCGCAACATCTTAAAGAGGAAAATAGGTTGCTGATATCTTGTTTGTTCGTGTTACCGCTTTTAGAGGGTAAAACCGATTACTATGCCCGAAAGCGTTTGATCACCCAGGCCAAGAACAAGTACAATTCGCCTAAATACCGTCTTGTTGTTCGAATCACCAACCGGGACATCATCTGTCAAATCGTTCACGCCAAACTCCAGGGTGACTTTGTACTTGCTGCTGCCTACTCTCATGAACTTCCTCGATACGGTATCAAGCACGGTCTTACCAACTGGGCTGCTGCCTATGCCACTGGTCTTCTTGTCGCACGAAGGGCATTGACCAAACTCGGCTTGGCCGACAAGTACGCTGGTGTTGAGGAGCCAGAGGGTGATCTTGTTCTTACTGAGGCCAACGAAGACGGTCCTCGACCTTTCAAAGCCTTCTTGGATGTCGGTCTTCGTCGAACTTCAACTGGTGCTCGTGTCTTTGGTGCCATGAAGGGTGCTTCCGATGGTGGTATCTTTGTTCCTCACTCCGAGAACCGATTCCCTGGCTTCGATCCTGAAGCCAAGGAGCTCGATGCCGATGTCTTGAAGAGTTACATCTACAGTGGTCACGTTGCTGAGTACATGGAAGCTCTTGAAGAGGAAGATGACGAGGTATGTTCTTTTCCTCTCGATCAGCCAATTCTTTCATCTCACTCATGTTTCTTCCTCCGTAGCGTTTCAAAAAACAATTTGCTTCTTACTTGGCCGATGACATTGGATCTGGTGACATTGAAGAGATCTATACCGAAGCCCACAAAGCGATCCGTGCCGACCCTAGTGCACAGCCCACCGATAAATCCAAACTTGAGGAATACAAGAAAGCAAGCAAGGCCAACAAATTCACCAAGATTGGAAAAGAACAACGTGCTGAGAATGTTAAGGCTAAGGTGGCTGAATACTTGAAAAACTCTTCATGAACTTCTTTTTTTTTTCTCTCTTAGATTGTTGATTTAAATCGAGATGCAATTATTGTACACCCTTATGCGAGTTTCGAAAACAAAACCTTTCTTGATGGTTTTATGCCCTTTTTATGTATTATTTAAAACCTTTGCCATTTCGTTTTACTTGTGAGCCTACCTCTCAACACCTTGCCCTCTGCCACATCTCTGCGCCGCTCCATCTAGAATCTAGAATCTAGATTGGGCAATGAAATTTCCATCCTGAGTTGAACAGTGGAATAAGCCTCACATCCTCACGGCAGTTCCCATCCCAAGTCTAACAATGGCACACCCTCCTGGGTTCAAGCCGTCCCCAACTGTTTACCATGAAGTAAATCAAGTTCTTCCAAAGAGTGGGAATGGATTGGCATATAGGCTGAGCGGACCCCATTCTCACCGACGCGGCTAGGATTGTTTTCCTCAGTCTGTGTCTGGAGGCCAGCTCTGGCCCTTGAGTTTGCAAAAGCCCAATTGTCTTGGACTGATCAAAGGGCGTGTGATTGAGGAGCTGATTGTTCTGAAAACCAAAGCGTTGGCCAGAATTGGTTGAATTGGAGAGTGAGTGCTATGTAATCTTTTTTAAGGGTGCTTATGTCTATGTAGCTTAGCCAGGCTTTAAGTATTGGATTCGATTCAGAGCGCGATTTTAAAAAAAGTGCTGATTACCTTGATTACCATTTTAGAATTTACAAACTACTATCATCATCATCTCATCATTCAACTCACCATCCATCCATCATGTCAATCAAAAACAATTTATCAAAACTTATCAACCCTAGAGCAATTCGAACTCATTCTCAACATCAAGCTCAAGTTCATTCTAGAATTACAAGTTCTCGATTTATATCATCATCCTCTTATTCTAATTATGTCTCAAGTTCCAATCAAGCTGGAATGGCAGAAATCTCATCAGAAGACTTTGCTTCAAAATCATCAAATACTTCTACAATCAAATTAGATCAAATCGATCCTATTGCTCTAAGACCTGATCCTTTAATTCTGACTCCTATTAAAGAAGGTCTAGGATTCGAAGCATCAATCAAGACTCAAGAAACGATTGGTAGACCTATCTATTTAGACATGCAGGTCAGTGATTGGTTAACTGAAAAGTTTTGAACGACTACTTTTGTAATCTGACTCGTTTGTTTTCATTATCAGGCTACCACTCCACTCGATCCTCGTGTACTTGATGCAATGATGCCATATCTCACCAATCAATATGGTAATCCACATTCAAAAACACACGCATATGGATGGGAAACGGAAAAAGCGGTAGAAACGGCTAGAACTCATGTGGCTGATTTGATTGGTGCCAATTCAAAGGATATCATCTTTACTTCTGGTGCAACTGAGACTAACAATATGGCTATCAAAGGTGTTGGTCGGTTCTACAAAGTTTGTTGATTAGTTCTCTTTTTCTTTCATTAGATTTTCATATTCCAAGCTAAATTATTTTTATATATTTGATTACCACTTTCTTAAGGAACGTAGACGGCATATCATCACAACACAGACTGAACATAAATGTGTTCTAGATTCATGCCGAGTCTTGCAAGATGAAGGTTTCGATGTCACTTACTTACCTGTCCAAGGTGCGTAGTCCATTCTCTATCCGTCTCGTATTAACACGTAGAGCAATATCTAACTTTTGTTTGAACCTCGCAGCCAACGGATTGATTGACCTCAAAGAATTCGAAGCAGCCATCCGAGAAGATACCATTCTTGTTTCAATCATGGCAGTGAATAATGAAATCGGAGTGATTCAACCCTTAAAAGAGATTGGACAAATCGTTCGAAAACACAAAGGAGTCTTCTTTCATACAGATGCAGCACAAGCCGTTGGAAAGATTCCCATAGATGTAGATGAGATGAATATCGATTTATTGAGTATGAGTTCTCATAAGGTTTATGGTCCAAAAGGAATTGGTGCGGCTTATGTTCGTAGAAGGCCTAGGGTTAGGTTAGAACCTATCATGAGTGGTGGTGGTCAAGAACGTGGTCTTAGATCAGGTACTGTACCTGCTCCTTCGGTTGTTGGATTCGGTGAAGCTTGTAGGATTGCCAAGATTGAACTTCAGGTTAGGATTCCTTTTTGTTTCGTTTCAAATGATGCTTTGTTTTCTTCACTTGATGATCACTCCCATTCAAGCCCAAGTCGTCTTCAAAAAAGAAAGGCGCTTGACATGGGGTAAACATTCATAACTAAGCTTGACATGGCAAATCTTGTCTTGTTTGGCTTGGTTGTTTGACCTCTTGATGATGTTCTGTGCAGGGGTTCTGAGACTCGTTTATTATCCAATTGATTTTTCTGACTCATGGAAACTTGATCAACGATGCTGATTTTCCTGTTTTTTCGACTTTTTGTAGAATGATCATGATCATGTGAAAAGTCTTTCGGACCGATTACACCAACAGATCTTATCAAGATGTACTCATATCGTTCGAAACGGAGATCCATTAGGATATCCAGGATGTTTAAATTTATCATTTGAATATATCGAAGGAGAATCACTTTTGATGGCATTGAAAGATGTAGCTTTAAGTTCAGGTAGTGCATGTACAAGTGCATCATTAGAACCGAGTTATGTTTTAAGAGCATTAGGTGCGAGTGATGAGAATGCTCATAGTTCACTTAGGTTTGGGATCGGTAGGTTTACAACGGTTGAAGAGATTGATTATGTGGCTGAAAAGATTGCTAAGGTGGTGAATCGTAAGTTTGACAAGGATTTTTTTTTCATATGCTTTTTTTTGGGTTCGATGGTTTGACTTTCTTTTTTTTGGGATGTATTGATTGATGATTTATCTTTTTTTTCTTTTGGAAAATAAAGGGTTGAGAGATATAAGTCCGTTATGGGAAATGGTACAAGAAGGAATTGATTTGAAATCGATTGATTGGTCTCAACATTAGATTTCTATGCAAAAAAAAAAGAAACGGATCAGATATACAGAAGATATAGAAGGAAATTGAATGAAGGGAGAGGAGAGAAAAATAAAATTAACTATCATTAGTTTTCTTTTTTTTTTTTTGATCGTTTATGTTTTTTTTTAAAATTTGATGAAGTCAAGTCTCAAGAGTCAAATGTTTTTGTTTTCTTTTTAAAAACGTTTTTCTTCATTGTTTTTTTTTCGGTGTTCTACTTTTTACATTTGTTGATAGTTTACTTTTTTTTTTTTTGAATTTGTTTCATTTTTGAAGTTTATAAGTAACTACATGTGCATTTCTATTCTACCAAAAAAAAAAGGAAAATAAAAAAAAGTCAGAATTTAAAGGAAAAAAAAGTTTTTTTTTTGGTTATGTAAATTAAGTTGGTTATTGCAATTTATATGTAGGTTTTGAAAAGTAATATTTTTTTCCTTGATATATTGGTTTACATTTCTTTTTTGAAAATTCTTACCTGAGTTTTTTTCTTTGATTAGTTTGGAGATAGGAATAGGATAGATTATACAGATCATATCAAATGAGATGTTTTTTTGTTGATTGGTTTGAACTTCAGGAGTCATATTCAAATATGTCATCAAATATACAAGGTGATTGTCAAACATTGATAAATCTAATGATTTATTATATTTTGGAGTTGGATTCCTTATTTCTTCAAATTTGGGACAAACATTTACTTGATTCAAATTCAAATTCATGTTTAATTTTCATCCATAGAAAAAAAATTAAAATTACAATCATTTTTACAAACAACAATAAAAGAATTACAACATTGGTTTTGTTTAGTAAGAAAAAGATAAATTCAATAAGGAAAATAAAAACAAAAACATCAAGGAAATCATAAACAAAACAAACAAACCCACCAAGAAAAAAAATGAGATGAATTTTGTAAGAAGGATATGTAAGTTTTTTTTTGTTTTTTTTTTCAATAACCTAATTCGCGTTTTCTACGATCATTACTTTCAAGTCTAAGTTTAAATTTCCATTCTGGTACATCTTTCCAACTGTTTGGGTTTGGGTTTGGGTTTTGATTTCCTTCACCAATTAACTTTAAAAGATGATTTTCTACATTAAATTCCTCAGGCTACAAAATTCCCAATCATAGAAAAAGAAGACAGGTTTAGATCAAGCTGGGATTTTTCTTGAGGAAATGAGTGGAATAAAAATTAGGATTAGAATAACTTACTGGGATTAGAACATGAACTGAACTTGATTCTTCTGTTTCATTCTTGAATGGAAATAATTCAAAATTTGATTTCTTGGACCATCTTGATGCAATAGCTCTTGCTTGATGTTCAGCCTTGATGTGTTTGTTATTGTACAATAACAAAAGAACCCCCCCCACACACACACCCACAAAAAACCATCATTAGTGTTTTTCTAGATCAAGAAGAAAATCTTCAAAAAGGAAAAAAAAACTTACAAGTGGAAAAGGGATGACAGATGTGTTGATAACTAAGAAAGCAAAACTTGGATCATGAAAATAAAAGGTTTGTAATGAATCTACATTATGTAATCTTCTTTTGAATTGATAATTTAAGATTGGATAATCACACCAAGGAGAATCATTTTGATGACAAAAATCATAAGAATAATGATAACCGGTTGCAAAGATTAATAAATCGATTGAATGAATTTCAGAAAGATCTTCTAGAATTAAACTTGATTTCTGGATGGATTTCAATCCTGGTTTGGCAAGTATGTTTTGAGTCCATTTTGGACTGTTTGGATCTGTGAAATCATAACCTATGCTTGATGGATGATTTGATAATGAATATAATTTGGTTGGTTGATCTTCTGGTGGTAAATTGGCTATTTCTCTTAAGATATCATAACCTGATGGACCTAATCCTACCACTGCAATTGTCTAAAATATAAGAAAAGAAGAATGATTCAAGTTTTCATTAAACTCAATGAATGGTGTCTTGATTTTGATTTTTTTAGAAATCAAAAGATTGAATTTATGTATCAAAAATCAACTTACTTTTGATCTTTTTATGATATCATCTTTTGGTGTACGATAATAAAGTGAATGAGTGATTTGATTTGGAAAAGTTGAAAGTCCTTCAAGAAAAGGTATATAAGGTTGTGAATTATGCCTAGGGAATCGATTTTGTATAGAAAAAAATATCAATATTGATGATTTATAAAGAATTTGAGATTCAAAAGAAAATATATATAAAAAAAAATTGATATACATACCCATTTGCAGCTAAAATGAAATCAGCATAAATGATAGAAGGATTTGATTTTGAATCTTGATCGATTTTAGTATATTCTATCATCCAATGTTTAGAAGGATTACCAGATGAATGATTAGGATTATATTGAATTCGGTTCACATTTGTATTAAATCGAATCAATTCTTTTAATTCTTGATCAACAGAATCATCTAAATAATCTAAAATCTCACTATGATGAGGAAATGATGAAGATGAAGATGAGTTGAATGGGATATCTTTAAATGTCATTAATTCGATGGGTACATTTGTTCTTAATCCTTTGTAGATCGGTGTTATGGATGGATCGGTTTCGTTTATGATCGGTTTACCTTCTGGTGTGAATTTTAAGTTGATCTCACCTGGATTTGATTCATAATTCCTTCCAAAGAAAAATATAAAATCAAAGAAACATTCAATCAGTTTCGATTCTATGACAAGTTGAGAATAAGAAATATAGATTGATGGATTTACCAAACTCCTCCTAAATTAGATCTAACTTCAAAACATATTATTTTAAAATTTGTAGTCGATTTCAATTGTCGCAGTCCAGCGATACCCTGTTATATACGGAAAAAATCGAATTCATTAGTTTTCGATCAATGTGTGTTGGGTTTGTGAAAGGTCAAGGAAGAAAAATAAAATCACAAACGCTAGCGCCAGCACCAATAATCAATACATCAACTTCATCATCCATGATTTCTTCATTCATCATTTTTTATCAAGCTCTAATAGATTTGATCGAGAAAAATGATCGATTCGAAACCAAAACAAAAAAAGTCGTAAGATCGTTGCTTGATTTTCTTATTCTGTTGCAGTTTCAAACTTTGAGAAACCTTTTATGCAGGGTGATCGATCTTTAAGAACCGGTTTATCATCATCTCATTGTACATAAATGAATGGAAGCTACATACATATCCAGAGGATGTTGGTGTGGGCCTAAACGTATAAGGTCACCCCCGCCCCGGTGATCGAGGGAGGGACTTACAGCTCATGTCCAAACTTAACAAAGTCCCTCGCCAAAGGCCCGAGCCCCAGCGAGGGACTTACCGCATAAACTGGAATCCTGGCGTGAGAAGTGAGCTGTATTTGCTCCAAATTCTCTACATCTGTTTGTTTTTTTTCTCTCTCAATAAACATGTCTTGCAACAAAGAAAGAAGAAAATGGCCAGGGACCATTACATATGTACCAATTGCAACCTCCTTTCTGTCTTGCTGGGAAGTTATCTTTTTGAGTGCTTGAAGATCAATTATTTTGACCGCTTTCTGAGAAATACAGGCTTTGAGCCGGCTCGCCGCTTCTGAAAGATGAAAACAGACCCATTTTTGATTCCCCAGTAGCCCAAGTTCCAGACCAGATTTGGGGGAGCTTGCAATTGGCTCATATGTAATGAATATTTGCCATCATCCTTTTATTTACCTCCGAGACCTGTTTATTTAGGAACAAATTGAAGAATTCAAAGTAGTGTTTTTGGAGCCAATACAGGCTACTTCTCACGCCAGGATTCCGTTTTATGCGGTAAGTCCCTCGCTGGGGCTTGGGCCTTTGGCAAGGGACTTTGTTAAGTTTGGCTCATGTCCCCCTTTTTAACTCACAACAGCACAATTTTTTTTGGTGATTTTTGCTTTATCACTCATTATGAGGGTTCGAGACCTCATCAAGTCTTGCTTCCAGCCACGAGGACCTTCATTTGCACCTTGTACATGTCCTCATGCGTTTTTAGCAACCATTGTATTCATTGAGCTCACTCAGAAGAGTTGTAAAAGGTTGTTGCCTACACACCTAATTTGATACAGGACCCCAAAGGCTTGCAGATGTCTCCAAAAACACGGTGTCTATGAATTGCAATAGCAGCAAATCTATCCACAATGAAGATCTAAAAACAGCACCAGGAGACCCACAAGATGTCAAGGAAGCTGTGTGCAGCTTGAAGCAAGAGGTTATGAGGTGTGGAACCCTCATAATGGGCAAAAACAAAAAAAAAATGACCAAAAATCTTGCTGTTGTGGGTTGAAAACCATGATTGACTACTTTTCACGTAATCTGGTATACCTCAGCAATGTCCCATCCTGGTAAATGCATAGTACTCTGTGACAGTGCCACAGTTAGTATATGTAGCAGCTGGAGATGTCCTTGTCAAAATCAACAAACTTAACCAAGAAGGATTAGCACAACAGCTTGGTTTGGACAGCTCAGGTGTCCACAGATCAAGGGGCTGGAGGGGAGGCTTTCAGAATTTTCTACAATTACCCATCAGGTTGGATGTCAAATTGCTTAGGAGTGGCTCTATTCCATAACTAGCAGAGTTGGATATAAAGGGACATCTGTTTTCATTAACAAATCTGGTAAATGATGAATCTATCCAATTGTCCTCGCCAATTCACTGGGTGTTTGGTGTAGGCGCTTAGAGGCTCAGGAGCCAGAGGCCAAACATGTTTGTAGTGTGACTCATCAAGCCTCATCCTGATCATTAGATTTAAACTTCCAATCATTTTTATTCCCATTTGAGAGCCACTTTCAAGTCAGATGTTTGGACTGAGGATGGAGTCAAAATGCACAAATTGTCCTTGTGACCATTCATTTCACATCTTTTGAAATACATCAGCTAAATCCTTTATGATTGTTGTTTGGCTTTCATGGCTAGCTGCAAGAACATCCTTTTCTCATAAGTCAGTGGGATTTGACATGGTCAGTCTCTGCCTGTGGCAATGTGCACCTCAGGTGTGCTTAAGTTGATTGTAGAGAAAACTGGCAAAACCAGTTACAGCTGTTTTATATGCTGTGCAATGATGAGATTTTTACAAATTTCCAATCAACCATTTTTGGAATGGATGTAAATACATAATTAGTAAAGAGAGAAACATATTATTAGTATTATATTATGCATGTAAAAGTGAATATGTTCCAACAAGGCAAGCGTAAAGGTTCAAATATCTTGGATTTATTTCTGTTTCCAATGCAGGTGAATTTAGCTGGAATGATGACTGCAAGTCCTGAAAGATCTTCTTTGCAAGATACTGGATAATACAAACTGGCCTTTCAGAAAAGTATCTTGGGTTTAATTCCTTTATTGTCACAATAAAACTTTATCACAAGTATACCCTGCTGGCTACATTTTATCACACCTGCATTGTTATGCTCAAGGATTTGTGGCACACAAACAGGTTTGGATTATCGTTTGCCTGTTGAAATACAAGTGGGAAGTTTAACAACTACAGCTTTTGTACCATCTTTATTGCAGAAAATCTTGAGATCTGGTTTGATTTCATGTTTAAAATGATTTTCCACTTGATGACTTCCCTTTGGTAACACATGCCACCAAATGTGTAGTGATATTTGGTCGCACATGTGACCCAAACATGGCATTTTGTAAACCTGAGTGCAACAAAACGTGCACACTCATTCTGCACATATGTGCAAAAATCGTGCACACTCTTGAAAATGAAAAAAGCCGTTTATTTTTTTGACATATGTGACTGCAACCTCTCCCATCTTCCTTATCTCCACCTTTCACTCCTTCTTTTTTGTACTTCACCATTTTGTTTCTCTCTTGTCACAATCAACATCAATTCATTATCACTTCAATCTCAATCATTCTTAAACTGATCAATTTCAAAACCTGTTGATCTCATCAACCATCATATTTGAACCCAACTTCAAACCTCTTTACCATCCAACCCAATCTTTCACCTTCAACTGTTCACTCTTTTTCATTCAAACTCATTGAATTCAATCTGATTTGATTCATTGAGTCAAAAGTTTGAAATGTTCATAAAAAACTAAACTGGAGTTTACAAGTGAGAGTTGGTACAAAGATGAGTTGAGGGTGATGAAGGGAGATTGAGATTGTATCATGGTCATTGAACTCAAAGAAGTCAATGATCTTGTTTAATCAATGACTTGGGATCAATGATTGTGAAATGTGAACAACATTTTCCTTTTCACAAGTTTACCAGATGTTCCAAACAAACACAGTGTTATGTCTTTTGACACATACACACATGATGAGGAAATTTCTTACTGTGAGGTAAAAGTCACATATGCAAGTTGGTGTGAATTTTCTTACCAAAGGGGATGGTAAGTACTGGGAATTTAGATACACATCGCCGGTAAAGATGCAAGAAAGTAGAAAGAGAAAGACTTCATCTTTGAAGGGCTGAACTGGTTGAACTTTCCCAATATGAGTCACGACAGTTAGTAAAGGAGATCAAGGGGTAACACTAATAGTAATACGTAATGGGTGAAGGACAATCATGATTTGTATGAAAGGTAAAACTACAAAGGGCATGATTTGAGACTTTGAAGTGAGAAGATTACCTTTTGATTATTTCTTTAGACTGCTTTTTTTGAGTATACACTTTGCTACTTGAAACACAGACGATGAGTTGAAAATACAATTGACTTTTTGGTTGAGGTTTTTTTGGATGAGATGTACAGATTTTAAGGGGCGTTCAGAGCTGTAGGATGAGGTTTGGAAGCTAAACCACAGCTAGTCAAGAGGATGATACAAGTTGTCTTTATCTACATATTTAGCATTTGGTAAGTGAATCTATTTGGAAGGTTCAAGGGAGATTATGGGTAGCACTGGTAGTAGCCTTTTGGGGGCGGATAGCAACACTGAGACAGCTATGCTGCAACACGCTACCAGTTTTGTGCGTAGCGTAGCTGTATGTAGTTAACAAGAATCTGACCTTTATGATACAGTCAAACCGGAAAAGCTTGTCACGAATTCCCCACCAAACTGCTTGAGTTCTGCCAAACTTAACGAAAGTCCACTTGTTTGTTGGCTGTACAGGCCAGCTCAAACAAGGGACTTACTCGTAATGTCCCAAATTTGGTGTGAGGTCTGTCGGGGTTTTTTTGCAAAAATCTTAGATCCCGCCTGCTCAACATTTTCCCCAATGATCTTGTTTTGACATGATAATAAAAGATACGTGCAGCCCTCCTGCGCCTAATAGTTTGGAGTTCTGCGGGCAAAATTGGTCAAGCTTCTCCAATTTGATTGTAGTGTAGCTTGTCCAGTTACGCTACACTACCAGCTACTGTAGCTGAGTTTTGTGCCTCTACACTACACTACAGGGCCAAAATTTGGGTAGCTGGAGCTTTCCTAAGACTCTGTGTAGGGTAGCTGGAATTCATTCATGCTGATTCATGTTAGCTGTAGCTTATCAGCATGTTTTTAGCTACGCTATTGTACATTATCAGCTACAGGTAGATTGGCTGTCTCAGTGTTGCGGATAGGCAACCTCTTTATCAGCAATTCATCAATACTCGTGCAACTGTTGTCGAGCTTTCCTCCATGATCCATCAAACAACCACTCCTTCTCAAGCAGTCCCCGACCTCGATTTAGAACATGAACGTTTCCTGAGTGGAATTTGTTGGCATAGCTGACTAGGCTTGGACAGACTTGAAAAGCATCAACTGATTCTATCAACGCACATGAATAGGAACTTTGATACTAACCTTTGCATCTTCTCTGGGTGATACCTCAATCTCCCTAAGTTTACTCATTGTCCTTGAGTGTGAGGTAAAGAGCATGCTTTACTTCTTGAACAAATCAACTTGACTATACATACTTGAGGAGAAAACTGATACAGATTAGCACGATAACGAGCAACGGATGATTCGGTGGTCGACCTTTTGCCTGTCAAAATACTAGGGGAAAGAGTTTTCGAGACTTTGGTCGATATACAACCGAATCTAAAAAGTGCATTCCAGATGACAGGGCATTCCTAGTCCTATCAACTGACATCGCAGAACGACAACATGAGAATGATCGAAAGCTGCATGAAATGAAACTTGAGCTTGTGATGTCATTCAGCTTGATCGAGTTTGAAACTCATCACTTCCACGACATTTCCAACAATATAGTTTTGTAAAAAAGACAATTGATTGTTGTACGTTGGAAAGTGAGGATACTGAGTTCCGCTCAAGTGAAACTGTGAAGGATCTCGATAAACAGGTGATCAGGTTTTACTACAAAGTCATAAATTTTCACTGCAAAGTCTTCAGATTGAACCTTCACAATTCACTTCTTCATCTCAACTTACATAATTCCGGCCGATGTAAAACGCATTGTTTCAATGGAAACCTTGCAAACAATTGAGATGGTAATCTCAGACGCGCGCTTCTTTCATGGGTTTATCTGATTCTTTTGCTTATATACATCACTCATCGGTAATGACGTAATGATTTTGAGTTATCTAAGGTGCTTGACATTTATCATTGTAACCTTTTCTCTTTATCAAACTCAAACTGTGAGCCTACTAGCGTCTGTTGGGCTAGTAGAGTCAATAAAAAGGAGGTAGAAGTTTAAACAAACTTCTACTAGACTCGTGGGGATTACAATCCACGAGTTGGAGTATGTGAAGACGCGGGCGTAGAAGCTTTACTTGTAATAAACAAGTAAAGACTCCAGTTAAATGACCTTTTAACAAAGGATTTCACGCCCAGGGATTTTGGGTAATTGTTCTTATTTGCAACAATTAAAATAGAGCCACTGACGCGCAGTTCTCAAGCCTAAATTGAGTCACTTCTTGTACAAAGAATGATCAATAAAGGAGGTGTTAAAGTCTATCTTAACACCAGGAACTTTAAACTCTGACTAATAGAGGTTCCCCGTAGATTTAGAGTTTCTTATATCAGATAAATCCCTGATCTGATATAAGCCTTACTCCAGGACTACTTCCTTATACGTAATTCCACCAAATGGATATTACAAAACTAACTGATTATAAAGTCTAATCAGTATAGAAACAAAGTTTTGATGCGCACACAATAAAGTCAACAAGACACAAGGTTGAAGATTCAAAGTTCGTAGAATCAGGCGTTTTAAAGTTTGTAGATGTTAGACAAAGTTTAAAAGTTCTATGAAGATGAAATGAGCAATTTGTAAAGTTGTTGAATGTTAATGTGATGATGATATTCCTCTCAATTTGGCTGGATTTTCAGGGTTTATATAGTCTAAACCTTGGAAATCTTTGGACTACAAGTGCGCACAAATTGTGGTTCTATGGTTAGGTTAATTACAGTAAGACAGTTACTATTGGGTTATGAGTATATTTCATGTGTTACATATGTGTTAAAGCTGTGAAATATATGTAGTTTTGGTTTACATCAAAGTTATGTATGTTCACACCCTTTGATGTAAGTTCTGCACATGTTACATATGCTAAATCATATGTAACTTGACTCTTGAAACTGAGCCTTGAGTTGTGATTGCTATTTTTAAGGTTTTTATTATAATACGTCGCCCATTGGTACTCTGGTTTAGTACTCAGGGCTGACACAAACTCATTGTTTTGCAATCTTTGTTTTACTCAGATTGTTCTTCCTCTTTAGTCAAGTGTGTTGGCTTCTATACAAAAGTTGATAACCTGAACCTCACAGGTTTATCGTTTAATTCAAACTTTACAGCAGGATGGCTCATTTTGGTTTCCACAGGCGTTATACCTGAAGTATTGGTGAGAATGTTGCATTTTTTCATATTTTCTCTCTTTGATCGAGATTTTCTATTGGGAGCAACCCTGTTAACCTTCAGGTGCAGAGGTATTCATGCGACGCTAAGATGTTGATCAGTAAACATGAAAAATTAACTGTACCATTGGAGTTACAAGTTTGGTCGAAAATATCATTTCTATATGTAGCTGACTGATCAAGTCATCTTACTGAGCTCGTGCACTTGAACCAAATTGTTACATATTGTGATTTTTCTTGCCCACCTTTCCATTATATGGTCGGTCGGTTCTTCTCTTCAGTTTCATAGCACGTGGTCCAATCTAATGTTTTGGATGTATTGACTACGTTTACAAGATTGTTTCGAAATTCATGAGGCTCAGCGGCAGCAAACTTAAACCGTCCCTCTCCCTCTCCCTGGAGACTTGCTAGGGAGAGGGACGGGGTAAGTTTGCAGCGACAGCCTATGATAAAAAGTCTAAATATCAGGTTTCAGTTTGTGACTAAACCGCAAAGTTCCCCGTTCACTTCTTTCCTTGAGATCTTCTTATTCAACGGTTCTCCACCAAACGGGGAACTCATGCGTATCTAATTGTTACATCAATATCAATGCGGAAAAAGTAAGAGAAAGCGTATAGGTAAGAAAGATTACGTCAGAATCAAATAAGAGGTTGGAATCTTCTGAATCAACAAACTCAAGAAGTGTGACTGGGCCTGTGACGCGGTCATGTAGCATGTCTGTGAACAATTATGACGTTCACTTTTTCTTTTTTCAGGACGGCCATGCCAACTTGAGACGCCTTTTTTGCAGTATATGTGGTACGGTGTGAGGTCTTTTGGGTGATAGAGGATGGACTTTTGCTACGAATAGGTCAAGCTTTGTGGCAAAACTTGTTGGATCTCTTTGTCAATTGACTGAGTTGCGGGGGCTCCCCGTAATCAAGAACTCGTACCAAAACTGGCTTGGAAAGAGTTGTAGAAGCTTTCTGCAATCGCAGACCTCGAGCGGCCGGGTTTTCAAGAGCGCAGGACTTTGCCAAGTTTAACACGAGACCCACTCGAAATATTCTGTCGCTCGAGCCGAAGGGCGGCCTGGGTTACTCCGGCGTGTCTGTAGCCGCTTCTCATTGCGTGAATCGGAGTTAGCTGTACTCCGGCTTGAGTGAAAGAATATCGCTTCCAGTGACTGTGAGTGGCTTAGTTGTACAGGGGACATATAAAGCACCATATAAAGACTGTTGTCATCTTCGCCACATCTCAATTTTCTTCAATTTGATTTACCTACCATAATCCAATAGCTACTAGTACAGCTTTGATTGATCTTGCAAAATGTTCAGCACAGTCTCATTTCAGTCATGGGCGCTATGTTTTCTGTTCTCTATTTCTCTATCAGGAATTATAGATAAGACTGTGGCACTCGATATGCATATTCGCGAAGAAGGTTCATCATTGCTGAAGTTTCCAAAATTGGACAAGTCTTGCAATGGAGCTTGTGAGTCATTCAAATAGGCGAAGTGACCCTGCAAGGAAAATCATCGATCGAAGCTCAACAAGGTCTCACTTTCACAGATTCAAGTCGGCAGCTACCAAGTGTACAAGCCAAGCGACAGAGCAAAGAACCAAAGATGGGTTCACCGGCGCTATCAAGCTCAGCTAGGCTACCCAGCTTCAAAAGATTCACATGCAAAGGATCCGATGTGGTGGAGAATGTGATAATACCGCGCGATTATTCCAGAATGAGATCAATGGAGAGCTCTTCATCAAGCTCAGAGAATCTCGAAAAACCTGCCTTTAGGAGAGTACAGAGTGGAGGACCAGGTTTGTAAATTTTCGTATTTTAAACCTTTAGCAGAAAATTTGTTCACTAGTCCCTCTCGAAATCATCCAGGTGGGACAACGGGAGGGAAGTCGGTAGCTAGCTTTCTTGATGCCTCGTCACCCGGAACAGCACCGGAAACATCACAAGGTTTGTAAGCCTCAGAATATGATACACATCGAGACAAAGTTGATCAAGAGTTACTTTCAAACCTATTTAGGTGGGAAGATGGGAAGGCACATTTTGTCAAACAAGGCCGAACTTGTTTCCCAAAAACGTCATTTCTGGCCGTACTTGCGCTTTGTAGAACCCAAAAAGACGTGTATGTACTTTTTGGACGTTTTCAATCATCTTTTCCGTCTAAAATTCATCATTATTTGCCTCTTTTCCCGTCAACGTCCAACCTTTCGAACAGTTGACAGTGAATCGTCTTCGGTCGTTTTAGAGGAAGGTAATCATATTTTATATCTCTTTTATTGATCATGAGATTTTTGATAAATGATATTGTACCTGTGTCATCTTTGATCCGAAGCTCCAAGAGGGGCAGAAGTTGTGGAAAAATATATACAAAATTGTGAGTCCTTATCACTCTACCGCGACGAGAATGACTTTTCTGAATGTGAGATGAATCTCAAATATATGTTTACCTGTTTCAGTCGATCCAGAGGCTTTTACCCATTACATCTGGGGTCAGCAGAAAAAGACGAGACCCTATCAAATGTCAAATCTGAAGAAGCTAACTGAAGCAAATAAGAAAACATGTCCAAACCAATTTCAAAATATGATTCAATCATTAGAACCTGTCTTACAAATAAAAAGTATGAGATATATGGATTCACCTATCAATGATGGAAAAATCTCACATGATCCTCAGAGATACGTCGATGGCTTTATTGATGATGGAAGAATGCCAATTAGTCCTCAACCTGCATTGAAAAAAATCGACAAGATCAAAATCCAAACCAAAAAGACCATCCTCAATGTTTTGAAGGAACATTTAAAAAACAATCAAGACTTCTCAAAACCATCAAGAAATCTATGGATGTTTTACCGAACTTTGAAAGATCAGTTACACGAGGAGGAAGAAAAAGGAAAATCTGTATATGATCTTCCATCCCTCGAAAAGGTGGCTAACAAAATCTTCAAAGAAGGAGGCCAAAGAAAAGTCTCACATATGACTGATACAAAGGTCTTGGAAGAAATTGTCAATGAGAATATAGATAGTATTCTTTCAGCAAGACTTGAAAGCTCTGTTCGACATCAAAATCTGACAGAAGAAGACGCGCTTTACGTACGACAATGTTTAGGAAGTGTGCATACCTTCACTATGAAATACAAAAGTTCTACCGCAGAACCATTGCTACGCGCCATTACTACTTATTATGCAACAATACATCAGCGTTACTGGGAGTTTCCAGAACTCCGTTACTTAGCCTATCGATTACATCAGGAATACAATTCAAAACTTCTTGGCCATGATAAGCATGCTATAAATGATATTGATCCTGCAAAATGAATTGTAGAGGCTTGAATCCTACAAATTGTGGTTTTGACAAATGTATAGCTGTTGATGAGATGTATTTGTCTCAAGATGCATTGCTGCATCAATTGGTTTCATATGTTTGATGGCATCGATTCCCTTGAGGGAATTTGTGATAAGTGAAATCATTACACGTTAAATGATAGCACAAGGTATCAAATTGTTTATTCTGAATTCCTTCTTTTCCATTGGTTGAGTCATCTGTACTATATATTTCAACCTACCTCCTCACCTTCCAAATCATCGTTTTTCAGCACCTGGTAGATGTTATCACTGAATACACTACACAAAAAAAATGCTTGATAATATTTCTATTTCATCTGTTTTATACTGAAACCAATCCGTAATTTAACCTTCTAGTTTTTGAATTTTGGCTTTCCAACTCTTTTTGTGCTCTGTGGTTCTCAAGAGGTCTTCATCAATCCATGCTTTATGAATCCCATTATCATAAATGCAATAGCTATTTAAAGACCTAATCTTGAATTTCAATGTGGGCTCACTTTTGTTTTTTCTTGTTAATCTGAAATAAAAAATCTTTTTTCAAAGAGGTGAAGAGGATATCCCCAAATTTCAAGTCTTTCAAACAATTGCCTTTTTAACAATGTCCTTGAGTTTTCTGTTTCTTCTAGGTGGGAAGGTGTTTAGTCTTAAGGGCTTAGATTTCATAAAATGTTCCAGTTTATTGGGGTTCTTGGCTCAATGTATACATATCACATCTTATCATACCAACCAATAGATAGTTCTAGCTGATGTTGCCTACCAGCTCTAAGTTTGTACAGGAGGGGCGCCGCCGGCCACTTGCCTGGTTTGTGTGGATGATAAAATCACCTCATCCCTCAAACCTGTCTGCCTTGGCATTGCCCAGGTGGGTGGGTGGTACTTTAAGATGCAATAACAACTTTGAGGCGGATATGGGTTAGATCGTGGGTGATTGAGAATCATACACCAACAAACAAACCCCCAAGGCCGGTACAATATGGGAGTATGGGAAGCCGGATCAAGAGCCCATTACAGCTTTGCTGCGCTGCACAGCGCCTGTATTGGCGCGTGGTGCTGGGAAAGATTTTGAAAAATTTGTGTTGACATGACACAAATTTCTTGAATAGCTGTATATGCAAACTGGCACCGTCAACATATTAGGGGTTGGGCAAAATTTTGACCAACCGGTTTTGCGCCTCTGAGAAGCCCGGCGAAAGGTGTTGAAGATCGAGGAAAACAAGTTTCCTGGGTTCACACGTCTGTTACACGGGTCTGACTTCAGCACCGAGAGATTTGGGCGGGTACCTGGGTTAGCTTTTGCAAGAAGAGAAGGGTCTGGGGATCGGTGAAAGGTGCAAGAGGGTGTTTGCGTGGCTCGTAGCGGTGCAAATTGCTTTTCGCTGTAAGAGTTTTGAATAGATACAGCTTTGGCATGGTCAAGAAGCATCTCATACTGGTCAAATTTTTTGGAAAGCAAAAAGATTGATAAAAATTTTGGTCGGTTAAGAGTGGCTTTGGTATTGCTTTCTAGCCCTCTCGAAAGCATTCCCAATTTTTTGAACTGCGACTGAATTGGGTTTAGAAACCGGTTGGTTGCTTTTTTGCCCAACCCCTACTATCCTCAGATTGGTGGATTCGAGTTAACAGCGGGCGGCTGTATCCAAGGATTCATCGGATAGCTGGGTACCAAGGAGATCATCCAAGGTAACAGGAACCACTCACGTCCAAGAATTCCTCAGACAGTCAAGTACCGAGGAAAGCAATATTACGAGTTTGACTTGGCCAGATACAAGGGATGAAATATATCCTTGGATAATTCCTGTCTGAGTTAATATCATGCATTATCATCGGACAGCCTTATCCAAAGTTAACTCAGTGTGTCTTATCCAAGGTAATATAAAAGCACACTGTCTGGATTGAGGAAAATCAATTCTTTCAGGCCAAGCTTTTAACTCTTTCAATCACTCTTCAGGATACATTGCCTGAGGCTCATCAGGATGAAATTTGAAAACACCAGGACTCAACAAAATTGGAGAATCACTGTGTAGGAATTCAACCTGCATACATACAAGATCGTGATTAATCCAAATTTGAATGCAAAACCAAAATGCAATACTAGGTCAATAGGGGTTGGGCAACAATTCGACCAACTTTGGCCAACATAGGATTCCGCCACACAAAGAGCATCGAAGGCGCCCAGAGTGGTTTGAGCTAGAGCTCCTGAGATATCACAGGTTTATCCCGTGTCCAGCTGCCTCAACCAACACAATTTTTTCATAGGCAGCCAAGTTTTGGGGCAGTGCCATCTGTGACAGGCGTCTCAGGCTAACCTCTATTGGTCTACCAGAGGCTTTTGGCTGGCAAGTTGGAGAAATATTTGAACAGATAACCCAACAGACGGTTGGGTTACGTGCTGCACCACCCTATTTTTTTTGCTGCCATAAAGTTGTCCAAAAAAATAGGGATTTTTGATATTGTTTGAATTGGTTTGAACAGTGGCTGATTGGCTTGCAAGGGAATTTAAACTACAATTGAATAGCTGTGCTGCCGCGCTTTGCCCAACCCCTAATGTCCAATGTAAAATTGGATTCAAGTCTTTGAACACAACATCAAATTCAAAATTGAAGACGAATTCAAAGTTGAAATCAGATGTGAACTCCATTTCAAACACAAAATCAAGTTCAGCTGCAAGACCGGATTTCAATGCAAAATCTGTTTGCATTTGAAGAAATCAAATTCAACTCCAAGATCAAGTCTGAATGAAAACTATCCAATAATCCCCCTTGAAAAGTGTCAAATCAAACTTCAACTCTACACCGGTGACTTTGACAGAACCACAAAAAGAACGAAAAGAAGGAGACAAACCCATAATTGACCAAAGCATCTAATCTATCAATAGAAGGCTTCCTCTTCACTGAGAAACCATGAGGTTAAATTTTACAAAGTTATTTCAAGGTGCAAAAAGTTGGCTCTCAAAATCAAGATTGTATGACTCCAGATCGAGCATTCAAAAGAAAATCTTCACATCTACTTTTGAGAAATGTCTTTCACAAACCTTGGCTTGACTCTTGTTGCAATGTCTTCTGTCAATGCTTGTTTTCATCTCAAGCAAGCCATTCTCCAAAGTGCGCTCCATACTGTGGATTCCAAGATCTGACAAGATGTAACCCGTTCATTTCTTGAGCTTGATACAGAAGCCAAATCTTGAATCTACCTACCATTGTGCTATCAGGATGTCATCTCTTTGTACCCTTTGAAGCTCTTCCCAAGTGATAAGCTTCTTACTTGGACTCCGCAAACCATTCTTGAGGTATGTTTATTTTCTGTCTGCGACAATTTTGACATTAGCAGTTAGAATATATTCTGATTATCCATTTGCTCTTCAGACCACGTCTTCTGAAGATCAACTTCCATTGGGCACTGACAACTCCCAAGAAAATTGCAATACTGTGTTCAAGACTTCATACCACAAGTGCAACCATGCAAGCCTTGAAATCAAACTTCTCAGCTTGCCAGCTAGCTCAGTATCTTTGGATAGTTTGTCCTGCTACTCGTGCAACTCAGAAAAAGAAATCAACAGCAACTCTAAAAGCTCCCTCAATCCTCTGTTTGAGGACAATTCCATTGAAACTCTTCCATCCATCAAAAAGTTGACTCATCATCCACACCCAATACCACGGACATTCTACTAACTGAGGGAATGGCACTACTTGAACTAATTCCACTCGGAAATTGTTCATGGACTGAACGCATCAATTAACTTGCTACTGATGAAGAATGGGACAACCATATCAACATATTAGCAAACAAGTTTGAAAAAGAAATGGAATTTAACTCTGAGACCAAATGCCTATCATTTGACAATACAATCACCAGGATATCAGCTGCGTTTGATTGCGACAAAGAAGAAATTGAAGATGGAGAGTTCAAAGATGTATTTCTATCACCAAGATCTTTTGAAGGGGAGGAAGCCAAACAATATTTCAATTATTTTGATGATTGAATTTGAGAATTCCAATCATAGTCAACCACAAACTCAAGAATCTAATACTGTTTTCAAAATGAGTGAAGAAGAAAAACAAGAATACGAATTATTATCTTTACCTAGACACACAAGCACAATTCAAAGAAACCCGCACCTGTTTCATCTTTCTGTTAGAAGATTTGGATAGATGTTTGAGTTCTGCTATTTGTTTACCTACAAAATGATATCTCATTTTAGATTCTATCATCAGCAATATGATCATCATCTCATCATCTTTGACAAAAAATACCTTGAAGAATTTATTGATAGATCTCATTCTACAACAAAAAGTTATTGTCACAAAAACCAAAATTTCATGTATACTCAAAATTCTGGTCAAAACACACTGTATATTTCAAATCTTTGTATCTTTCCTTTGTTTATTCAGTATCTGTATTTCTTTCGCATATTTTTTGTACCCTTGTTCAATTTATCTAGTAGTTGGCATCAAGAAATATAACCATCATTTCAAAACAAAAAGTTTGTTTGAACACATGACCCAAGCGCCACATGACAAATATCTCTCTGTTGGTATGTTTTGGATATAAGTAGCAGATGATGCTTCATGTAGAGATGACCTTAGCTTTGGCTCATTCCTGCTGATTCAAAAGGCAAGCTAAGATGCATGGTTCTTTATTGTAGGAAGTTCAGATATTGATAAGGAGGTATGTTGTATTAGAGATTGATGACCCCTGTTCAAGATTGGCTTCTACTTCTTTCCGGAATATCACTCTGTATGTATGCAATTCAAGGCAAGTTGGTTTTGTACAAGTGTTGGCAAATTGCTGGTGTTACTGCTAATGCTTGGTTTGATGGAAGTGGAAGTCCAAGTCCAAATGCTGTTTTGATTTTTTGAAATTAAAAATTAAAAACCTCCACGTCAACTATTATCAACTTTGTTCAAACTCAACCATATCAAACTGCATCACAGAAAACAAATGTCGCATAATTGACCATGTCAACTCTTCAATCA